AAAAATTAAATTATATATTAATCAGCTATAGATCTCTTTTTTGGTTGGGCAGAATAGGTTTTAGAAGATTTTTAGAATTGTATATATCGGTGCGAAACATCAAAATTCTGAGAAATTCCTAGGCTTATCATTCAAAAAAAAGAGAGCGGGTAGGCCATACCTGGCAGACACATGATTAAAATTTAGAGTGCTCTCGAGACCCACTAACCGCTCATCTAAAAGAAAGGAGTCGATAGCAGAGCGATACGATTGAATTTCTGAAGACTTCATAGACCTCTTGGTTAATAAAAAAATCGATCTATATAATGGAAACTTATTGTATTTCAGATGCCTTCTTCCATACAGTAACATCCTGTGCCTTTTTCTTATACTAGAAAACGCACCGGCTCTTCTGGATCACTAAATTCCTAGTGTTGGTAAAAAATTGGTGTGGGCTTTTTTTTAAAATTCAGTTTGAGATAAAAAAAAAATCATAGACTTGTTTCACTGTATCGAAAGGTATTAAAACTATTATAAACAGTACTATCTGGAGTACCGAGGATTTTAATAACTTCAGCAATATCATATTGGAAAGCGTTCACTACTATACAATTATTTGTAAATAGTGAATACGAAATAGATAGGATCGAAAAGAATTAATCACTAGGAATATTTGACAGTTCTTAGAGTGAGACACTCTTTGAAATAATAAAATGGTTTCCTATATAACTTAAGCTGGAAAAAAACTACCGGTTCATTGTTTGGTATCATGTGTGCTATATTGACGATAATATCATGTTGCACTGGTAGGTATAAATGCTTTTTGGTCTTATTGCTTTATAATGACGATAATAGCTTCTCATGCAGAAGATAGAAATTTGCGAAGAAATTATTCGATAGTAGAAGAAAAATAAGCCGAAAAAAATTAGTAAGTTTCATAGTCTAATAATGTAGCAGTGTGCCACTCTGTAAATTAGAAAATAAGGTACAGAGAGCAGAGGAGGATATTTTAAAGAAGTCTATATGAATTCATTAACGAATTTTGACTTTCTTGAAAAATAGAAAATATATTGGCATTTTTCATTTTCAAAAGGAGTGTTTTTTTTTGTCATAGATAATTGACTTATAACTTGGACGCTGGTTATAAATTGAAATATGTTGTGTACAAATAGAAAGAAAAATAAAGAGCTTCGTAAGACATTGCATCCTAAAAACATAAACATGAGAGGGTGTGGGGTGGTTGTGGACTATGATAAAACAACCCCACACCCACCCAATTTTGATAAAAAACTGAAGAATTAATAATCAAATTTTGAAATACTTTATAAATATCATAACCATCATGATAATCAAAAAATTCGTAGATTTCATTGGAGAGATTTTCAATAAAACTATTAATCCTTATAGAAATAAAATAAAGTTCGATTAAATTACAAAAATTTATTTTGCTCTTTACTATTTCTCTTCAAATGATTCTACTAATAAAAGAATTTTACTGTCTACTATAAATTCAAGTCAATTCGACAACGAATTTTCAATGCATAAAGATTTATCAAATCTCTTACAAGATAAAATATGTTTGACTTCGATAGTAAGAACTTCATAGCGAGAATATCTGAAGGCGAACATACAAAATTTGAGTCTTCTCTTTAATATAATCTTTATTTCACAAACGATTTTATTTGAAACAAAAAAAAACGAATAACAATAAAATAAAATCATTTCCATTGTATATAAAATCTATCGTATTGACGATATATTGTATAGTTGTTGAGTAAGTTTTTTGAATTAATCATTTGATACAATTTCTCTACTTTATTATAATTTGCATCATCACAAAAAACACATATAGTCATAGGATGATAAATATTGTTATGTTTAATATTCTTAAAGAGATAGTTTATGATTGATTTAAGATCACGATCTCGCACAATTTCTAATCCAAAGAATTCTATACGAGAAAAATGTTTTAAAATAAAATCTATTCGATCTTGTTCAGTTACATTTCTAAGTGTTATTTTTGTAATTTTGTTGATTTTTAAAAATTTTTTGAAGATATTTTTATCTCGAATATTTAAATCCATTTGTTGACATAATGGTGAATTTGATAATCTTATTGAATTCAAATTTCTTAAAGCATCTAAAATTATAATCAACATACTAACAGTTATTTGTTCACATTCAATATTCAAATAAGTTATTTCTATCATATTAAATATAGAATTAATTTTCTTAATCAATGGTTCATCATTTTCGGTGAGAAAATTACCAGTAACATCAAGTTCAACTGTTGAAAAATAACGATTCGACGAATTATCAATATTATTTTTTGAACCTTGTTTAACATACAAATATCGTTGAATGTCGATCCAAGTTTCTCTAAAAAAAAAAGTAGTGACAATAAAAATTCCTTTCAATAGAGAAATCATACCCTAGTCGAACATCTTGCAAGCAAGATCTTGAAATCTTGGAACCGATAAGCAAGATCTTGACAAGATCATGAAAAGATAATTTGTATCTGAACAGCTTGCGCGCATCGGATACATCTGTGTCTAAGATCTTGTCAAGATCATGGAAAAGACATCGTTTACTACTATCTTGTCACAAGATCTTGAGTAAAAGAACGATATCATTAGTATATATGTGCTGACTAGTCATTCACCGTTTTTTTTGTGCATGCAGAGCCGTATATAAACAACGTGATTGAACATATGAAACATGCATTTTTCGAAATAATTTTTTTTTTTATAAGCTCTTTCTCAACTATTAATCATTCGAGAAAATGCCGATCTCGATCACAGATCGAGAGAGGACTACCTGAAGCCGTCTGATGGTGATCGAACCATCTCAAGAACAGGCAGGTTCCAAGATCGGGCTATGCTTCAATTATTTGGCATAGGAATAATTAAAATAAAGATGAATTGAAAAAATTGCATAACATGCTTTTACAGAAAAAGATAAGAAATATGCGGTATAATAGGTTTGAACCACGCTTCCAGATTGTATCACGGATTGTGTCGCAAATCATGAGATCTGCAACACTTTTTATCTTAGTATATAACCAAGATCTTACAGATCTATACTTAAGATCTTATAAATCTGTATCTAAGATCTTATGAATCTGTACCCAAGATCTTACATATCTGTACCCTAGATCTAGTCACAGATCTTAGGTACGAGATAATCACATTATCTTGTACCTAAATTTCCAAGATCTACTAACATTTCTGTATCCAAGATCTTGACCAAGATCTTGCTTACAAGATGTTCGACTAGGGTAGATCTCGAGGCTTTTTTCTATCATTTAATACATACTGATATGGACGTATTGAATAAATGAGTTCATCATCTTCAATTAAAAGTTTAAAAATCCATTTTCGATCAATCCAAAATGATGAAATAAAACGATTAATTAATGAATGACAATAAGTTATTTGAAAATCCTCATCAATAGTATCACTATAACGAAAGATAAATTTAGTTAATGATGTTATATTTTGTGTAATTAATTGTTCCCATCGATCAGCATCTAAATAAATTTCATCCATACTATAAATTTTAACATTTAATAATTCTAATTGAGAACAATGTTTCAATAGGAAATTTTCAAATTCATCGAACTCTATATCCCGTAAAGTAACTGTTAAATGTGTTAAGTTATTTAATTTGTTTATTAATTTAAATTTGATATTATCATCTGATTCGATTATATTGAAACAATATAAATGAGAAAGTCGAGGTGTATGTAAAAGTATATTAGTAAGTTGATTGAAAGTACATCGATGATAAATAAGAAGATATTCAATAGAAGAATATTGATCTTGAACAGCAATTGGTATAGTAATAGATAATAGTGGATGTTGTGGTACTGCTACTCGAAAATATTTCAAAGATAAATGAAAAATCATTTGATAGATATGACCAATATCACAAGAACAATTCGTAAGACAAATACTTAATGAAGAGAGATTAGGTAAAGATTTCAAATAAAAAAGAAGAATCAATAATTTATATGTTGAGATTGAATTAAGAATAATTGATTCAAGTCGAACAAATAATGTATCAATAATAAACAAATTCATGAAATCATTGAGACTTGATTGAGAATCAAAATCAATTGAAATAATATGATATTTGTTTGATCTTATAAATTGTTTATAATAATGAGAATCAAGTTTTGTTTTAGAAGATATTTCGATTTTCATAGTCAATGCTGGACTAATTAGAAGATTTTCTAAACGAATATTCAGATTCGAAAATGCTTGATAAATATTATAACCATCAAGATAATCAAATATTTCATAGAATATTTCATTCGAAAGATTCTCAATACAACTAAGTGTCCTAAGCAAAAAAAAAAGTTTGATTGAATTTTAAAAATTTTTTTGTCTTACTTTTTCTTTTTAAAAGTTTCTAAAAATAAAAAAAAAAGACAATAACCGATTAGATAATCTACTTTAACTTACGTAACTGACGAAAATTTCTTTGTCTTTTAATTCGATTCATGTTTATTACAAGAAAATATAACAACGCTAACACTATATATAGATGATATGCTTGGACAAAACATATCTCATTGTGTCTATAATTGATTGCATGTGATTCTTGCGGACGGAAATATATTTTCTTTCCTCTCTTTCATTTCAGTCTGCCTCGTTTTCAATGATTATTTACTTTCTTTCATCTTTATTTTTAATATAACATACAAAATATTTTACGTCAATTTTTGTTTATAGTTAAAATGCTTCTGAACATTAGAAATGTTTTTTCTTTTTTATATGAATCTCAAACATAAAATAGATACGTTTAGATAGAATTAGAAACGATGATTAACCGACAGTACCAATAATAATAAATTACTCCCAGATCGAAGGTCAGCCGTCGGATCTGTTTCAATCCGATCGGATCCTAATTGATTTGCAAAATTTCCGACGTATTCCGATTACAGGTTCCATCCGGTTCTGAGCAGGTAGGGATCGGATTATAGTGCACCATAGAATCTGTATAAAATTTCATTCCAACAGAATGTGTTTTTGTGGATTTCCTGAAAGTCAGCTAAGGTATGCAACAAATTCTGTCGGATGGAGAAACATTGTTACAAAAAGTTGGGGTGGGTGTGGGTATCATTTTCCTCTTTACCCACACCCACACCCATCCTATTCGATTATTAGTGTATCTTTAGACTGTAAAACTTTGGATTATTCTATCCCATACCAAGACTTAACTTCCTATAATGCCAGATTCCAAATATCTTTCCTACCATTTTTTTCGATATTCAAAAATCATTAGTTTTCTCGTGAAGGGTCTCTTAAAAACTTATCAAGACTTTCACTTTCCATAAGTAGAATTATACAAATAGAAATGAAGGCAACGTTTTGAAAATATAAATAAATGTTCTCAAATGAAAATAATGATAATGGTCTTTTACTTCTATTTTTCATCTTTATGTTTTGTAATCACATTGAATCCATTCAGAATATAACATATCAAGTCTAAACATTGAATACCTTCTCTTCAGATATTGAGGCATTTTATGAAAATATTTCGATAACTAAAGATATTACAAAAGTTCCTTATTTTTTTTTCGAGAATATTTCGAAAAGAATTGTTCAATGCCTGAAAAAATGTTCAAGCATTTAATTTAACGTTTATATTTGATACAACTGGTTTTGGAGAAAGTTTTTTTTGTAAATATTAGAGAGTTGATATTATCAATAAATCAAAATAGGTAATCATCAATTAATATATTATAGACGATTTGAATAGAGGATCAATTAATATTCAGATTTTTCAAGAGGATATTTATCGTAAACAAACAGATTTTCTTTTTTTTTTATATGAAACTGTTCAACATGAAATAATTTCTAAAGAAAGATTTTAGAAACTGATCAGTAGTGTAGAAATCGAAAATTCGATTCGATTCGATTCGAAGCTGTTTTTTTCGAGTTTTCGGCGATTCCACTATTCGAGATTTTTGCCGTCCCTCTCACGTTGTGGTACGTCGTACGGGATTGTTTTCACTACCCAGAAGATAGTTATAAAATCATGAATTTTCGTCCTGGTACGCATTGAAAAGGTCGAACGAAACAGTGTTGACGCAAGGAATGTGGAAAAATAAATGTCGAAAAAAATATCGACAAAAAAGAGTAGCTGATTTATTTGAGCTCGAATATAAATAAAATTTTCGAAACGCCCTTCGGATTCAAACAGACAAGTGTGAAAGACAAAATTTTACCACAATTATAAATTATAATTCAGTAAAGAATGCCTTCTGTAGTCCCTTTTTACTCTCATCCGGACACATGTGCCCTCGGTAATCCCTTTTAACCCATAGACTTACCAGGACTTGTGCCCTGTACGCCTTCTTTCACCCCTCCTACTCTCAAACTTTTACTCGACGAATAAGTTCCAGCGTTTGTTTAGTCTTAAACAGATGTACTTCAATTAATACGGTGTTTTGAATACACAACATAACCATAGGCGGCGGAAGCTGGAGGCTGGGTGAGACATGAGCCTCACCAGAATTTGGCGTCTGGAGGCTCAGCCTCACCCAAATTATGTTTTCGGTGTTTTCTTGCACGGTGGTTTAGACTTATCAAATGAATATTATTTCAGTGCAAAGATTCGAACTTCTAATATATTTATTTATATGTTGTGATAAAGAAAACCAAGTCATTCAGACAATAATAAACCCACTAACTATGTCCTTATGGTTCATAGCGACACATTTTATCTCATTTACGTAAAGTTGTGTGTACTAGACCATTGTAGAATTATCCGATCAAAAAGCATCAAAACTAGCTATATTAGAGTGTGTTCTTATTCTTTTTAATGGATTCAGTTATAGGCGGTGGAGCCTGTAGGCTTGGTGAGCCTTAAGCCTCACCTGATTTTGGCTCCTCTAGGCTCATCCTCACCGAAATTTTGAATTTCAAGTTTAATCGTTTCTATATGGCTTCAAATTTTTCTATAAATAAAATCTTACTTTACTATGAAAATTAATATCTGGCAGGAGAATCTTCGCGAAGCTATCCCCCTTGGCCGGAATATCGGGGATGTCGAAAGTTACCCCCTCCCCCCTTTACCACTTTCTCAAGAAAAAGAAATTGTTTTTGTTTGTCCTGGACATTCAGAAGGGAGGTCAAAAAATGCGATTTTTACGGGGCCGTGTCTGCGAAATTGTTAGCCCTCCCCACTCTCTAAAACAATCGACAACTTTGGAACTGAGCCTCACCTAATTTTGAAACCTTCCGCCGCCCCTGAACATAACAACCGCATATTTTCGCGTTTCATACAAAGAAATACAATGGGTTATAGAGATAATAAGCTCGCTTACTATCTTCCACATGGAGATCATATACGATCTGAATTTTGAATCGTGTTCCTTAACATATGATTGTATTGCTCCATATACAGTCAAAAGGATATGCCGTCGTAATGTTTGGCTATATGAATCGTGAAAATATAATTGTATAATGAGCAATAAAGTTGTTTACAAGCACATACAGACTCAATGTTCGTCATCCTGAGTATGTGTCAGACTCCTGAATTAATTTCCATGACACCAAATAGAGTAAATAAGATAAATATCAACTAATGCAAAATAAAAGAATCTAATAAAAATACCGCAATTTAATAGAATTTTAGCTATGTTTTTAGAAGAAAAGGTAATATCGTCGCACGACTGGAAAACAGTCAAGTTTCGGCGTGCCTCGCTACTGCTCAGCCATTGAATGTTGTTGTATCGCCTCGCAGTGGAGTGACGGTAGTGTTACATCACGACTCACGGATCTCTGACAAGTATTGCCATTCGAAACGGTATTCGACATTCTTTCTATGCTTTCCAGTGAATAAACTTGTCATCTCGCAATCACTATTTCTATGAATAAAATCACAAGAAAAATTAAATCATATAAAATTCGGCTGACAGAACTAGATCTTTGAAATCTACGTTTAACCAATACAGAGTAGAAACTGAATTAACTTATGAATAATTGTGAGTCAGAATTCTCACCGAAAATGTGATACAACAGTTGATAATAATGATTACAACAGTCGATCGCAGACAAAGGAATAAAGGTTCCTAGGTAATGATAAATGAAAATGGGCAATCAACTGTGAATAATGCATAGAACTAAAGAAAGAAGAACCAAAGGAAAACTCCATTATACATATGGAACAGAAGGATAAATAAAATGCGTGGCAATAGAATAGCAGAAGAGAAGAAAAGCATAAGCGGAAGGAGGAGAATACGCTACTATCGAAATAATGATGTTAATAGTAGTCATTAAAAAAATTCCTCATCATGCTTAGCGAAAAAGCTATGCTTCGTATCCGATCTCCGTTTTTCCATTTCTTTTTCTTATGTTTTTGTTTGTCGCTCCTTCTTTCTTTCTTTCTACATATAAAAAGAGATGGTATGATAAACATGCAGTGATACAAGTAAAGCATTGGTTGTCTATCATACGAATGAAAATGGCATATGCACAATAAATATCTAATTATCTATGGATGAAATAGTCGAAAACATTGATTTAGTATCTCGAGTGATGCAAAATCAGAATGATGAAAACTTGAATAAAAGAGAATTTCATCAGAAATCAGACGATATTCAAAAACAAAGAGGA